GGGGGACGCCCACGGCTGCCCCGCTGCCTCGCCTCGGACACACGGACCTCATGGGTGCCCCTGCCAAGCCGACAAGAGGAACGTGGGGCAACGCCAGGAAATATTCGGAGTTGAATTGTACCAACTGTCCTGCAGCTTCTGTAGCTGGGTTTCTGATCTGAGGACGTTACTTTGGCCTTGTTAGAGTTTGATAAAAATCAGCTTCCTTCACATCCACTTCTGACTGTTGTTTTCTAGGTGAGGGCAAAACTGACTTCGCTGTTTACTCTTCAAGAAGCTTAACACAAAAGCATCTCTCCTCCACCGCCAACAGACTCAGCCCACTGAGGCTCGAGAAAATTCTGGATGCCTCTCGTGGACTGCAGAGAAACTGCCTCTGAGTAAGAGCCAACAGAAGTGCCAGCTTCTGCTGACGAGGGCTCAGGCTGTGGTGGGACGCATCAAAGCAGACAGGCCTACAGCTGTGCTTTCGCTAACTTGGGCAAGTGTCATTTAGGAAGGGATCGCCGCTGTCCCTTAAAGTCTCCTTTTCGTGTTTCAAGTGCACAGTTTGACAGCAGGAAAGAAAGTGGGAACTGTTTTCTTTGGCCTCCACAGAAACGGTCCGGCTGTCACAACGCCATGTGCAGACCCCGTGCTCCGACAGCAAGTCATGGGACGCGTGTCGCAGAGGCCAAGGCAATGGAAAACGTGAAACCGCGCTGAAACCTTGTGCACCTTCAGGGTCTGCCCGTCTGTGTGCTGCTCTGGGCGCCAGCACCGGTCACCGTCCCCGGGCCTGGGCCATCAGGAGTGAGGCTGGGTTGCACAGCTGGCCCTGTGACTGCAGGAGGACCCAGGCCCCAGGCCGAGGCAACCACAGGTGGGAGGGCCCCGCAGCCGCACTGAGGACACACGAGACCCCGCCCGGGCCCCTGGAGCGGTGCTCAGGCCTGCCTGCTGTCCGCCTCCCCGGCGGGTGCAGCTTTTGGGGGGCAGCAAGCAGCTGCCGTTGGCCTCGCGCTGGGATGACGCTGGGGACTTCCGGACATCAGTGTCCAGGGGGGCCTGAGGGGGCCGGCCTGGTGCTCCCGGTTCTCGGATCACCCGGAACCTTGGCATTTGGGCACGTGTCAACGAAATGTACTCAAAACAACCCCAACCCCGAGGGCTGGAGCCGCTCACAGGCTCGTTCTCTGCTGCCCCGGAAAGCCGCTAAACACCGCAGGAGACAGGTCGGGCTGTGTGAGGCCCCGGCTCTGCCCCTACAAGCTGTGGCCTCTGTCACGTTCCCCGGCCCCTGGGTGTGTCCTTCCTTGCCCGTGACACGGAGGAGCCGCTGATGCCTGCGCCGCAGGGATGCTGTGCGGATGGAGCCCGGGGAGCGACCACACGGGCGGCGCAGGGCAGCGGGTGCCGGGCTCTGCGGAAGCAGGGGGGAGGCGGTGCCGGGAGGCACAACCTGGACCTCACCGCCACGCCGACGGTCCTGCCGGTTTTATTTCCTGGCGTAACTCTGAAGGACGAGGGGAAGAGAAGCTCCATTTCATTCACTGTAACACAAAACTCCCGCTTTCCAGGCTCGACGGGCAGAACTGGCAGCAGTTGCTGCCGTGGGGGATCTGGAGAGACGTGGTGGCTAGCGGGGAGACTCTCCCGGGGTCTGGTGTGGCGCCGGCTCCCGGCCCGGGGCGTCTGCTGTGGGGCCGTCACCGGCCACGTCCCCGGCCACGTCCCCGGCACGTCCACCTGTGTTCCAGCCCGTGAGGGGGGTCCACGGTCGCCCACCCGCCTCACCGCGCCCCGGACACCCGCCGGGAAACAGACGCCCTGCTCAGATCGCAAGGGGGTCCGAGCTCCTGACGCCGACCGTGCGCGGAGTCACCCAGACGGCGCTGCGCATGGCTCACTCACCCCACCATGAGGAATCCTTGGTACAGAGGGACGGATGCGAAGTAGAAGACAGAGGAGAACACGGCCTGCCGAGAGGAGAGGAGAGGGGAGGGGAGGG